TGAGCTTTAAAAACATTTCGCCAATAGCAGTGTTACGAATTGTGTATTTAGATATTAATTTTAGTAGAATTCTAATTTAAAACACAACAAGTTGTATTTCTCCTCCTGCAACGCAGCGTGAGACAAATTTTAAGAGAAATCTATACCGAAAAAGTAAGAATACAGGGCACGTGCATTAAACTTTGACCAAACGGATATGTCGGTAATTTGTATTGAAATTGAAATTGAATAAATGTAACTGACCACTAAATTAGCTGTAACCGTAATTCCATCCTCTTGTTTACATTGCGTTTGGCGAATAGTATGGGTTACCAGATCATATCATTTATTGCCGCTCTTGGCGATATTTTTTTTGTTTAAAATTCCGGGTGGGCTATACTAAAGCTGTGCCATTTTTTCAAAAATACATGACTTGGAGGAACTGACTGCTATAGACAAATTCCAGTATTTATACCAGTCTGTGGTGCCTGATTCAAGAACTGCTAGATTAATATCCATTTTCCTAATAACAGCTGAAAATTATCCAAAGGCTGTCCAACAGCTGAAATTAAGATTTGGCCGGGAGGATCTCCTACTGGAAATATACGTCTGCAATCTCCTTTCACTGGTTCTGAAAAATGCTACAGTCCAGAAGAATGCCCCTGATTTGGCCACCTTCTACAATATGCTAGAGACAAAATTAAGAGCAATGGAAAGTTTAGGGTGCACAAAAGAAAAATTTACTGACTTTTTAGAGCCATTGGTGAAATTATGTTTGCCAGAAAATGTTCTACAAGCATGGGAAAGGAGTAGAATTTCAGAAAATATTGATGAAGCTTTAAGTCAGAGATCCCTGGAAAAACTGATGTGCTTTTTATGCCATGAAGTCGAATCAGAAGAGATGATACGTTTAGCTCGTGAAGGATTTAGTAAAGATAGGGAAAATGGTGCTATTCAGAAAGATTGACTGAAATTGGTCCACAAAGATGAACCCATTGTGGCTACGTTAATTTTAAGCACAACTGGAGCAAAACTTAATTCTGTTTTCTATGACTATCCTCATCTAAGTAAAGACTGTCAAAAATTATCCGAGATGAGTTATGGGGACAGAAAATCACAAGTTATAAGGAAAAGATGCTGTCTCGTTTGCCTTAAGTCTGAGCACATGAGAAGAAAGTGTCAGTGTAATGTGAGATGTTTAATTTGTCAACGGAGACACTATGTATTCCTTTGCCCAGATTTATGCAAGGAAAAGTTTTCGTCTAAGGACAGAACGGCTGATAATGAGCAGAAATCTACAGAAACATTGCTAACATCTTCCCTCTGAACACGAAATATATCTCAAAACCTTTATAATCAGACTTCGAATTGGTGACAAGGAAATCTGTGTTCGATCATTATTGGACAATGGATTGCAGCGATTTGAAAAACTGAATATTGAACATAATATAGATATGATAAAACTATTTGATATAATAAAAAAATAGGAATCAAAATTAAAAAGCTGAAAACTCTTATACTGTGTTGAGGAACAGTGTGATTGACCTAAAGCCAAGTTAAATCAATAAATCCATATCTTGAAACTCAATTAATCAGATTCCAGCTCAAACTTATTAAACCAGTAACCTGAAAATAAAGAGTAATAAATTTTTGCTGGTAATTAGCATAATAAAAAGGCTACCTCTCTAAAAAAATAGCATTCCTTCAAGTCACCATAAATTAAATATGCAATTAATTTCATAATTTTCTGTAAAGATAACAACAAGTTCATTTCCATTAATACATAACCTTATAAACACCAGGGAAGAAATATTCATATATATTAATCATTCAGTTCCCTTAAAATAATAAATTCAATTAAACTAATTTCTCAAATGCATTGTGTTTTTATTTCTTAAAAATAATTAACAACACACTAGGTAAATAAATCTTCCATGTTTCTAACAGCCATGCAGCTGAAACAAATGGAGTAATTGAACAGACCACCAAATAAATAACAAAAATAAAACCTACAATATTTATCACTGAACTCATTTATTAAGTTCTAGGTTAAATAATTATTAAAATAATTGAAACTGATCAGTTCCCTACAGTATTTTTCCTAAAGATGCATTTAAACATACACATTTCAATTCACTAAAATATCCTTATTTTAACGTATTATATACTATTTTAATTTTACTTTTACATTCCATTGTATTCTCAAACTTAGATAGCTAAACAAATTTTCTAATCCTTTCAGTAACATGTACATTAAAATAACTGATCATTACTTACTCACTAATCTTTAAAGATCCCTACAATTATAATTAAATTAGATGGCAAGAAAAAAAATTCATTTGTTTGAAGCCAAAACACAAAACTCTGTTATGGGAACTGCACTGATTTCCAGAATATTAGGTAGCTTTCATGGTCCAGTAGATCTCGCCACGCTTATTTCAACTGACCATCTAGGAAATGTCCGCATAAAATCCAAAACAAGGTATTGCTGCAGGAGACCAATCAAGGATATTTAATTGCTCTTGGTTCCACTTAGTGTTCGCGCCATTTTGAGGTCTGAAGTTTTTAGCTTGACATGCAGGTCTGTGCTAAATCATCTTGCACTATATTACATTTTCGTAATTCATTCTCTAAAACACCATTTGAATTCCAACACCTCAGTAAGCATGAAAGAGACTTTCATGAGGAATACGAAGTTGGGCTCTGGTCATTCAGTTTAGTTTCAGGAATACGAAGTTGGGCTCTAGTCATTCAATTTAGTTTATTTGCCTTTTCTTGCAATCGCTTGATAAAATCAGCCAGCTTTTAGGCAGATCCTTGTGCCTCCCTATCAGTTAGGGCCCATTGCAAGACAATGGGCCCTAACTGATAGGGACCTTCATTCTTAGATTTTCTTTCTAAAATTTCAGGAATATATCCATTTTAGCCAATATCTAGTCGGGAAAAATGCGGGCCCCAGCCCACTTGTAAGAGCAAGACAAACTGGCCGCAGATCTTTACTGTTACCCCTGTACAATTTCTGACAAATCTAATATTTTTTATTACTTTCAGTCCCTACAAATGAATAGAAACACAACTGCTGCTACAAAGACTGTCATCTTGACACCTGGATAGTGCGTTTCCCAAACACATGAGAAACAGAAATTTGACTTCTGCTAACTTCTGAGAACAACACGAAGCTGAGGTCACTCCTGCCCTTTTAAGTGCGGCCCAAAATAATTCATTCGATACCCCCTCCACTTAAAAAAAACCCATTTATCCAACACTTGCAAGGTTCACAAAGCAAAAGTGAAATGAAGATGTCAATTATTTCCTTTTTTAACTCACAGTAAACAAAGGTTTCTGTAGTGATGGATACTTTAACTGCTGTTTCTTATTGTAAATCCTATTCGCAACCCATCAAGAGAATCTGTTTGGGGACCACGTAATTTGACCTCCCTTCCTTTAAAATGTTCTGAAAAACCACTTCTTGCTTCTTCAAGAAAAACTCTAAGCATTGAAAAAAAAAAAAAAAATTAACTAAAGCTTTTAACTGCGAAAAATAAATAACCACTTTTCTAGTCACAAACAGTTTCAGTTAAATAAAAAAACCTAATCGCAGTTAATTAAATTACATTAACACGATTAAAATTTGCAACACAATACAGTGTTTTCTGAAAGGTTGTTTACAAACTTTATGTGAACTACACACAGGATGAAAATAATCATGGTTATGAAAAGTGTTGAAAATTCCTTCCATCCAACATGTGCTTCACGACATTGATGCATGGATTCATTATACTCGTTCTAGGTTGGGCAGGTATGCACATACACATACCAGTGCTTCCACAATCCTGGCACAAGGTCGATGTCAGATGTTATGGATGTTTTGTATGACAAAGACTTCATGTATACCCACAAGGAAAAGTTAGTGGATGCAAGGTGAGGTGATCATGGTTGCCTCTCAGTTTTCCATGGCACAGCTTCCTGTGCAGCAACATGTAGTATTTTGCCAACCTATGTGGCTGCTTACAGTTGGAAAACTCCAACTTCACTAATCCTCAATGCAGTTATCCAAACAGTGGTTAACTTGGCAGGTGTCTCACAGCTCGTTCATGTCCATCCACAGCTCCATAAACCTATAAACATAATGCATATCAGCCAGTACCTCATTACCAAACTGATGCATCATTCTCTTGCTACATCCTTGCCTGAAGCGATCCCACTGCTCTCCGGGTACCCTGCAAACATCCCCTTCTTCAGTGGCTGGTCATGATTTTGGATGTAACTTCCCATGTAAAACTTGTCTGTTGTTGTCTGACAGATCAGCTTATGAAGTTAATAAACAATCTTTATGAAACAATCCTGTATGAAGTTTAATGTATGTTATGCCGAGGCTGTGCAATTCTGTGATGCTTTCAAAGAGAAAACAGGTCGCTATTTACGTGGGAAGAAAAGCAGTAATGTATATAATGTTTAATGTGTACAGTGCTGAATTTATACAGTTCTCTGATGTTTTCTTGAGTGAAAACAGATCGCTGTATACATGAGAAGAGCTGCAGTAATGTATCCTATATTATGTATAAAGTTTAATCTGTAATTTTTATATTTTTAATTTGCATTATTATAATAAGTGTATTATTAAATTGCTTTCTTTTAATATGCTGATAATGTTTTTCAAGTTACAGATCATATGATAAATATATATAGTTTAGCTATCTTTTTTGAAAAACTCTCCAAAATTGCCTCTTTTTAGTGTTTTAGTGGAATTAGTGCAATTTAATAGTTTATTAATTTATTTAATTAATGGAATTATTTTCATTTATGTATTTGTATTAATTTCCTTATTTAAAATTGGCAATTTCAGTGATGTTTCTTTGTTTAGTTATTTTATGAAATAACTAAATAAAAAGGTAGATCGCATACTAGATGAATACCATAGTTTTATCATATTATTATTTCATAAAGTTGATATCAGTTATGCTGAGGAAATCAGATTCTTGCATATGAAACTAATGTTTAAAATTTTTTTTTAAGAATCCAAACATGTGCTTGGCTCATCAAGTGATGTGTTAGAAGGTTTTTGCTTGGCATCTCACCCACCAGCTGTCAAAAAGCATTATGCTGTTCCTACTTTGCCATCTAATTTTAGACCTATTCATACTGTGCCACAGATTACTCAGAGCCATACTATCACACATGGTCATACTTCTCGCCATGCTTTATCAGCTGATGAGCGCTCATTACTGCTTGGGGAAAAGAAATTTCGTTCCTTTCAGTTAAATGGTAAGGGAAAAAAGTTTTGGATAAATTTCTAATGACAAAATGCCTTATAATCATTATTCTTTCTAATTTTTGTTATAGCAGCTTTGTAGATTTCTAGAATTTCATAAATGTGTTGTATGTTCGTATCCTGGAAATTGAGTATTAGATACTTGAGCATTATATGACATTTTATTGTTGCTTAAACAGAGTTTAAGTCTTGTTTATAATAATTAGTTTTAAATTTTATATTTTTCTTGTAAAAAATAAAAATGTATCATTCTCAAATACTTAAAAAATATACTGGAATGTAAAACAAACAAAGTACGAAATATAGCCCTTTTTTTTTTGTACTTTTTTGTTAAGGGAATGTCACTTAGTATCAAATATAAACATTGGCGCAGCAATCTAGCTAGATAGCATCAGCAGATTGACTATTCTATTATTGATTGACTATTTTATTATCCTAAGAAAGTCCTCCATTAAATCAACCATCAGTACGTAAAACATACCTAACAGTATGCAAAACTTCATGACAAGAATGACTATTTTATTAAATCCAGAATGAGTAAATTGAAAAGAAAACATGTAAAATAGATTTTACCAGATTAATTTTAGATTACACAGGAAAAGCAAAACTGCTGATTTCATTTAACATTGACAAAAATATTTGTGTCTTTTAATGCAGTTGCCGCTATATGAATTTGGTTAGGTAGGAATCTAGATGGTGTTAGATAGTGCTGCAGGGATGTTAAATTTGCCATTTTGCATGTGGCATCCCATATCATTAACTGTTAACTTTTTTTGTTACTTTCAGATAGTCAAAAATTTTAATATGAAAATACTGTAGAAATATTATTTAACAGCAAAGATAATTAGTGAAGAAGAAAAAGTGATAAATTTAGCTCTGGTAATCCTGTTATGATGTGTTACATTTTAGTGTATTAGTAATTTTTATATTCTGTTAAGAATTTTTTTAAACTTTCTATATCTTACTGAATGAGTTGAATTGTTCTTACTTTACTGAATGTCTCTGTTCATTATGTTTTCTTCTAAAATACTGTGAAAAATATGTGTCAGATAGTTTCAATTATTACATCATTATGTACCACTCCTCAGTTTCTTCACTTAAATGGTTTGAGAAATTATTGTCAACATCCTATAATCTAGAATACTTTGCATAAATATATTATAAAGTACTACCCATCGCTTATTAAAGTCACTTCCATTTGATACGTTAAAATTTATGTACGCGACAAGTTAAAAAAGTATTTTTTAAAGTGATTTATTCAATTTCAAAGCTCATGTTTCTAGTCAACAGAAAGAATGCTTGTATTTGTTTCCCACTTTAAGGTTACAGGCATAGCCAATGCTTTATGTGCTTCTTCTTCAGTTCTGACCTCTCTCTTTCAATTGAGAATGTCCAGTAGTGGTAGCAAAAATAATTCATGCAAAGATTTGAGAACGCTGTGGGAACATGCAGCGTAAGTATTTCAAAGTGAATAGTCTCACCAGCAGATGGGCTGAAAAGTTACTAAACACTAGTAGTTCAACCTGGGTTTGACACAAGGCAAACAGACTGGCTACATGGGGTTTTCATGACTTTCTCCATGTGTAACATGGATACAAACGAATTTCCTTAGAAAGTCCTCCATTAACTAATCCATCTCCTTAGGCATACAGAAAGCTCTTACATGTTTTATCATAATCAAATAACCCAAACCCATTGGGAAGCTTTTGTATGTTGAAACCTTTAAAGATCAGATTACAGAGACTGCACGTCTACTTCATATGAACTGACATTCTAAAAGGAACACTCATGCATTTACAATTTGGCAAGAGAAGCATCTCTCGATCTGTAGTTGTTGAAGCCTGCTCTTATCCTAGCTTTCCAAAGACAAAAAATAAAATTCCGATTAACTGCCTGTATTACTCTAAAACTGAGAATCAGATTTTAGAGATTATACATAGCTATCATCTATCACTTTTTCCCTCTAAGAATATTTTACTAACTTTATCATTTATACCTACCTATGGATTTCTCAATCTAATCTTAGCAACAAAAGAAAAATTTATAACACTATGATTCTGATGCTTCTTGCCCGCATACGTCCAAGCATGGACTACTTATGTAAAGAATTGATAAGCTCATACATCTCATTAATGTGAGTACCAAAATGTACACTGGTTTCCAAAAATTAAGAAAAAATAGCAATAACTCGTTCAAAAATAAGCCAATTCGTATAAAATGTTATTATATTGTCAAATGGAAATTGACTGAGTAGTATGCAAGTTAGTGGCACTGCAATTGAAATACATCATTTGCAAAAAGCATAAAATTGCATGTTTCTGAGCAACTTTTGCTGTGACACTGAAATAAGAAATCTGAGATAACCAATTTGTGACTATGACCTTCAGGCATCATTTGCCTGAAGAACTGTGATGGAGAGCTATTGGGAGACTAGAGGCAGGAAAGTCAGACAGACCAGATAGCTAAATGTGAGTCCTTCTGTGGTTCATAAACTTCTGCAACAATTTCTAACCACAGATTCAGCATCCAGGAAGTTCAGACAAGGACAATCAACTGCTAAGATGAGCGCCGATGACCAATATTTGTTCTTATATGCATGAAGGAATAGAACTTAACTCAGTTCCTTCCTTGCTGCAACCACTAGAAATCTGGTTTCAATGTCAACCATGCTTAGAAGGCTTCGTGAAGGAGGTCTGTACGCAAGGCAACCAGCCATTTTTGTGCTGCTCACATCACATTATAGTAGGGGATGTTTGAACTAGTCATGTCAACATATCCACTGAACAGCTTATCAGTGAAGGGCTGTTCTTTTTAAGGATGAGACACATTTAGCTTCCATAACGATAGTAGGCGTTATTTGATTTGGAGAGAACCTGGAACACATTATCATCTATCAAATATCTGCGAAAGAGATGCATGTGGAGAAGACAGTGTCTGTGTTTGGGGGATTATCTCTTTGGGTAGATGCACAGACCTCCGTGTCTTTCTACTTGGAATCATGAATGCTCAGTCATTCTTGATGTTTACGTGTGCTCTTATGCCAGAGCAATAAGTGATAATTTCCTGCTACAGGATGATAATGCTAGACAACACAGAACTCACACATGGAGGATTATATTCAGCAGCAAACAATTCAGCTCATGGTTTTTAGCTTGATCACTGGACCGGAATCCTATCGAGCATGTTTGGAATGCTTTAGAAAGACATATAGCTGCTTTCAATCCTCCTCTTCAGACACTTTCCACACTTACAACTGCTTTGCAAGAGCAATAGCTTCTGCTTCCTACGGAACTGGCAGACTGCATAATTGACAGCATCGTACATCACTGTATGTGTTGTATTGCTTTTAGAGGATATCATACTTCATATTGAAGGTAATTTTCCTATACCAAACTCTGACACATCCGATTTGCTCATTTTATACATTTGCTAATTTCTATAATACCATAATTGTCTGGTAATTTGTTTTCATGTTATTTTATACCCTACTATGTGTTAAACACTGTGGGTCAGATTCATTAAATTCTACACATATTAATTAATGATAATCAGTGTATTTAATTTTTAGTTAGTAAGATTAATATTATCTAAATTCTAATAGCTTTGAATCATCAAAAACATGTATAAATTTTCTATTAAGTTAACACCATTATAAAATATAGTAATTTTTAAATAATTTTTATTTTATTTAAAAAATATAAGTACTTTTAGTAATGTATGCTGAAATATTTCTTTTGAAAGTCACAAGCTTTTTAGAGCATTTATAAAACTAGTCTCCGCTTAACAAAAGTTTGCAAAGTGCTGCTGTAGAGGAGTGCTTTTGTTGAAGTTCTGTGAATTTTGTCCCTTTCATCTATAATTTGAACATAAAGCTTTGTAAACAGTGTCTGAAAAGTACAGAGAAATAGAATTATAATGGTTAAAATTTCACTCAAACTTTTTTTTTTTATTGAAGCACTGTATATTTGAATGATAAACAAGCCACAGTCGCAATAAATTAAATGGATGAACTACAAACAGCTTTGATAGATACAAGTAGAAAAGTCCTTTGCAAGTCTGAGTTTTATAAGCAGCAAAGATGAGTTTAATAGATAGATTTTTTTTATTATTGATTGATTAGTGTATGTTTCTTTTGGTTCTTGGAAATTTCATTTTAATAAACAGCTAGTTTTAACCAAAAAGTTTAATATGTGACAAGTGCTGTATAATCAAATAACATTAAGATTGCCATGAGAATTCATAGCCTAGTTTAGTAAATGCGTCTAGTGTTTTAAATATTTTTATTTGTGAAATTAGATATTTTTTACTTTGCTCAATATATCAAAAATACATTCTTTAACTGTTTGAGTGCTATTTTCCTGACATTGTATATATGATAATATAATTAAAAATATTTTGATTTCTTACTTTCTCTAATAATATAAATGTCATCTTCATAAATGTAAATGACATTTATATTATTAAAGAAAGCTGATAAATGCTCTTTAAATACAGGTTTTCATGCACATTCAAAAACCCACACAACTCAGAGGGTTAAAAATATTACATTTTACTAGTAATCTTAAAATAATCTAATGAAATGCCTATCATTTTATAAGGGATGGTTGTTGTAAAAAAAACTCAAACCATATAATAAGTTTAAAATTTTAATTCAGATATTGCTATAAATTACTTTTGAAGGAACTAGATTGGAATCTGAGAACGTCACATTCAGATCCAAAATATGCAGCTAGTTAAGAAGTAGAAAGCATAATAATAATAATAATAAATAAGATCATAGGTAAATTTTAGAAAGCTTCAGGAGGTAGTTTTTAAAGATGTGTCTATAAAATTTTTAATTTTATTTCCTTTCAAATTATGAGTTTTACTTGGTTTGTAACAAATAACCCTGTCAGACATGAAGTGAATTATCACTGTCATGTAATGAAGTAACATACAGTCCATGAAAAGGTTTATATAACCTTTTTATTTAACAGAATATAAAGCATAAATGCACTCTGTTGTGCTAACAATACCAGCCATACCTCGTGGTGATATAACTAAACAGAAAGTAGGAGGCTAGAAACATGCTCTGTCTTAAGATCCAGAAACCTCAGTTTAACCCGTGAGCGCTGGGTTCAATAGACCCGTGCTCACGGGAAGAAACGTTTCTAAAAACGTTCCTATTTCTCCCAAGCAGTTGTGGTTCAGTGTAGTCTCCTACAAGGCCATCGTCTGTATGTTTCCAAAGTTTTTCGCCGGAAATTTGATTCGAAGTTTTGTTTTGACAGGATCGCGTCTTTTAGATCCAGCACGCCTATTCGCATTCTGTAATATAGTTCATTTGTGGTAGCACAGAAAGCTGCAAATATGTCACATAATTTATCCTATAAGGAAGAAATGTTACGTTTGCAAAAATTATTAGATGTATGAACTGTTGAAGATGACATTGAAGAAACTGATAGTGAAAGTTATAGGAACTTTTATCAAGTGGACAAATGTTACTGAAAGTCACCAGGCATACAAATATTTATATTGCATCTATTTCTGACAGCTTTCAAAGAGAGAGAGATGCTCGTCACACAACTTTAATTGAAATTCGTGCTTTTATAGGTCTTTTATATTTTTGTGACATAGATCATCTCATGTAAATGTGCAGGATCTATGGGTAGCAAATGGAACAGGCTTGGAAATTTTCTACAAAACTATGTCCTACAAACGTTTTCCTTTTTTATTAAGATGTTTCAGTTTTGATAATATAGGAACGCATGTCGTCAAGAAAGAATCAGATAAACTTGAACCTATAAGAGAGTTTTTTTTTAAAGTTTGTGAATAACTGCCAGAAATATTACACTGTCAGTGAGCTTGTAACGTTTGATGAAAAACTTGAGAAAGGTGTTCTTTCAGGCAGTATATTCCTAATAAACCTTAATAATAATATAATGAATTCCTAATAAATTTGGAAACGGAACTGAGAAGTTAAAAGTAAAGACCCAAATGATAATAACTGGTTAATTTAAATAATGACCCTACAAAATTATATTACAGTTGAATAATACGTGATTGGTTAAATCTCGTATTATTCAACTGTAATATGTCATTGTGGTACCAGTTTCTACTGTAATAACAATAAGGCAAATCGTTTACAGATGATTTCATGTGTTTTTCACTTTGTTTAGCCTGATACATGAAACACAGTAGTTTGTTCTTTACATCAAATACGAGTACATAGTTGATAAAATCAGTCTATACATATTGTTGATATCACATACACTCGGCACACAACTACTGATTACTGAATCATCAAAAAGCTGATGCAATTAAGTCATTTGCGATGCAGTTTGTTGAGGAGGTTCTTTTTCAAATGAGTTAGTTCTATCCAAACCAAAAATATAAACTTGTTATCTTATTGCTTTTAATAAATTTTCCTGTAACCCTTTGACTGTAGGAAACATTACTGAGGTTTGGTTCTGTTTACTTTGTCAAATCAACAGTTTTCCTTAATTAATAACTGATAGTAGCATTAATTGCATCTAATGTAATTTTATGAATTTGCTTCCTTTATAAGAAATAGAGAAAATTAAATTTATTCTTAGTAATTTCTTCAAAACATTTTTCGCATCAGCAGTTACATTTAGCTATCATAATATCTAATTATCATGAACTTGTGTTCTACATTTATTGCTGCTGACTTAATATATTAAATTTAGATGTAATAAAATAATAACTAATTATTATTCAGACTATGAACTTTTTATTTTATTTTTAGGTTTGATTTTTTGCAGCATATTTGGCATCCCACTATTATGACAATTTAAAATTCATTTCAGCAAGCTGCTTCTTTAGGTTATTTACCATTAATAAAAATTAATGTTGAAATTTATTTTTGCAGCAAGTCAAAAAACAGAAAAGAATTTTGAATCACAACAAAAAATCTGTACACCGTTGACCCAAGAACATAAATCATTGCCATCATTTCGACCTTTCCCCAGTGATTTATCAAAACAAGAGAGATATGAAGAATATTTGAAACTTAAAAGCACTGGAGGTAAATTGAGATTTTTCCAAATGAATTCACTTCAAATCTATCTAAATTTATAAAATTTTCCAGATTTTATGTAGCACTAATATATGCATTTATTTTTTGTATGTGTGTAGTTTTCATCATCTCTTTTAAAAGTGAAACCATATTTTTTATACTGTATTGCTATTAATGGAATTTTAATTTAAGAGTATCTTCATACTGAATAAATCTCTTTTTTTCATTTTATGTAATGCATTACACTTAGATGATGTATGGATATTTATTTCTTTATTTTTGTTTATGACTGAAATTTTACAGAGCTTATTTTACTGCTATATGTGTAATATGAAATTTGTGTAATGCTACTATGCATTAGTGGGCAATGTGATATTATGTGATTAGTAAAAAAAATATTTAAAATCTTTTAGCGTTTTTAATTTTTACTATTCAAGAAAACACCTAGTACTTTCACCTTTAGTTTTTTATCTTAGGATTTTAGGTTATCTTTATTGACTTTCAGTTAGATCCCCAGAATCTGATGATGGCCATAATTATGGTTCAAAGGCAAGAAGTTTCTGAACATCTTTTAGCAACTTTTTCATCTTACTTCATTAGACTTGTTGCAAAAATATGAAAAACATAAGTGCAAAAAATTAAATTATATATAATCATGTACTATTAAAGAAAACTTCTTGCACTTCAAAATTTATATATAAAAATATATATCAGTTTTGAATATATATATATATATATATTATTAATAAAAAACTAGGGCTATCTAAGGGGAGGGATGCCTTCGTGGAGGACTTTCTAAGGGAAACTGGCTCGTATACACGTTACACATGAGGAAAACCATGAAAACACCCATGCAGCCAGCCCATTCGCGGTATTCGAACCTCGGACCGAACTACCTGTGTTCAGCGACTATACTGTTCGGCCGCTGGTGGACTCTAATAATGAAAAAGGAAATGTCACAAATATTGTAAAAACTGTAAAAAATAGCTGTAAAAATAATCAAATAATAAGAAAATAGAAATTAAAAGAATAAGATTTACATTTCCTGGCATATCTTCTATAGGGGGTTAGTTCATTGAGAAATGCAAATAAAAAAATTAATAAATAAACCTGTTTCTTAGCTAAAAGCAATTAAACTTAATATAAAATTTGAATAAAAAACAAACTGTGCATCCAGCAACTCCACTTCAACAGGCTGGAAAAAGAAAAAGACTACAAAAACAAAAGGGAAAATAAAAAATAATTTTAATTTAATAAATTTTACAAAAATAATTTCAAATTAATTTTTTAATTAAAAAATAATTTTGAAATGTGCAACTTTTTTTTTTTTTTTTTTTATATTGTTGGGAATTTGCATACTTCTTTGTGGCTGCATTGTGCTGAAGATGCAGAAAGTTCAGTGCTATATAGTCTTATGGTAGATGCCAAGAATTATGTATGAAAATTGTGTGCTTCTGATGTGCTTATGTGGGGTGTGTGTCATATCTGGTTATCAACATGGCCAGTAGCCGTTATTCTCTTCAGTATGGTACCATGATCTGATACACAGAATCCTGGTACAGAAAATACCTGTCGAAGATTGTAATGGAAACAGGAATCTAGTAGAGTATCGTGGACAGTATTTATATAAAGTATTGTCTGGAATTTTGCAGTCAAGTACCTGCCAAAATACCAGTCAAATTACTCACCTGTTACCCAGCTCCATGTTACATTTTTACCTGACATGTCATAAGATGACATATCCTGTTCATTTGTTTTGTGAAGCTCAGAGAAAGCACCCACAGCAAGTATGCTCCTTTGACAGGCAACCAAGTTTTACCTTTGCAACATCACCCAAATTAAAATTCTGCTGAATATGGGCCCTGTGAAATATAGCATTTCCAAGTGAAAATTATTTTAGTCCTCTCAGAAGTGTGGGAAGTTAGTTAAGCTTAAAACTTTTCAAACTAGCCAAGCCAAACTTGACAAGGGGGGGGAGCAAAAGATCAAAGAGCTTTGGCAATTATTGCTCTGAGCATGAAATAATCAGAGGTTGTGCACATTAAAAAAATGTCAAATTTCATATGAAGTATGGATGAAACTGCCAAAATTCATCAGCCTAAAAGCCCTATAACTAAAAAGCAGAAATAGGATCTGAAATTTCAGAAGAATTCTTAACTTTGCTACAATGTAGCTTAACCAAAGAATCTGAAACTTTTAGAACTGCAGTAGAATCTTGTAATAAATAGCCTGACTTAAATACTTTAAAAGCTAAATTACTGAAAGAATCTTAAGTCGCCAATTTAAAGCACAGGAAAAGGTCAAGTGCAGGATGTGTTATTACTCAATATCAGAGCAATGCGAAAAATATCTAAGAATGTGAAAGACTTTAGTTGCTGTAATTACAAGTGAAAAGGACCATGTCAGAATGTAAAAAAACTAAAAGCAGAAATTACTTCACAAGCTTTTACTGAACAAAGTTACTCTCTCAGCATTGTGGATTCAAAGCGAGAATTAGGACCACATATTTGGTACCTTGATTCAAGAGCACCTGCATACATGTGCAATGACAGAAGTAAATTCACATTAATAACAGATATAAAAAGTGAATTTCAGTTGGCAAACAGTGAATTTCTAGAATTCAAAGGGAAAGTTGAAATTTATGCAAGTGTCTGTTCAACTTCCCAACACAATATATTTTTTTATACATTACCAACCTAAAACTGAACTTAATTAGTAATGCAGTGTAAATGTACTGCTTTAGAAATAACTATGCATGGGGTAAAGATAAAAATGAGCATGTAGTTATACAAGCTATGAAGCAAAGTGGTCTGTGTGGAGTAAATAAACCTACATAACTGATGTTTCAGTTCTAGAGACCTTATTTTATTCTAACAATGTATTTTTAATTTTAGAAACTTTTCTTTCCCTTCTGATTTCAGTTTCCTGCCAGAATGTCAATTTTAATGACTTGTATGCAAATCTAATGAGTTGAAAACAGTACTTAAGCAGTAGTTTTAAGAGTTTGCAGTTGTAGAGTTAATTCCAAATTTATGCTGAGTGTTTGAAGTAGCTTTGTACCTGAATAGTTGGGGGCTTATCCAAAAATGAGTGCAAGATTACAGGTATTAATAGATCAAGTGGTCACAGATTATCAGAATTCTACAGTACTACCTTGTGGGCCAGAGGATTGCTTGTTGTGTGTGTCGCCAGTGGAGTCTAAATAATTTTAAAATTATTTTCATCCATTGGTCAAGCTTTTGTTAAATGCTACTCATTTATAAGTTTGTCTCCTTGAAGAACAGACATTAATACCACAGAATTTAATTCACAATCTAATTTCCTGAAAAGATATTGCAATGCCTACATGTAGATCTTAATGCTGTACTGTTTCTGTCAGAGATAATACAAATGTAGTGATTTCCTTTTTGCTATCATGTACATGTTTCCTTTGAAAATTTTTGTTAGACAACCCTGAGGCATATATTTTTTTCACTCGATATATTGCTATTAAGAATGCAAATAAATAAAGAGCATTGTTTTTCATACCTGACTAATAATGCTGTATTTCTTAAATCTTCTTTTAGTTTTCTGTTTCAGCATAATCTGTGAACGCCTCTACTGTAGTTATGCTTTTTGTAGTAGTTCAGTTTTATCTGGACATTAGTGATAATCATGCTGTATATGCAATAAGTTGCCAGTTTTTATGTTTAAAGACTTGATTTTTATATAAAAATTTTATAAATATAATAGGGGGATTGGAAAGTAATGTTGTTTCTGTGCATGGCTATATTTGATTGTCATTTGTCAGCTCATTGTGTATTGTGTGCCAAAGTTATTTTAAAAAGGTTATTGTGATTTGCTCACTTCTGAGTAATTCAATACTTTTTTTTTTTTTTTTTTTTTTTTTTTTTTTTTTTTTTTTTTTTTTTGCAATTTGAGGTGAAATGGCCAGCCAAATACCAGAAGAGCATATCCAGTATTGTATGCTTTTTGAGTTTCGCAAGAGTAGTAACACAACAGTTGTGACCAAAAACATTTGTGATGTTTATCCACATGCATTAGACGTTCGTTAATGCCAAAAATGCTTTTCCAAGTTCAAATCTGTTAATTTTAATCTCTCTGACTCCTATTAATCAGGAAGACCAACAACATTAGACAGCGACATGCTAAGGGCAGAAGTGGAAGCAAATCCATATCAAACAATCGAGGAACTGTGAAACACCTATAACCAACCTTCATCCATTATCCAAGAACATTTAAAGCAGATTGGGAAAATAAGCAGAGCAAGTGTTTAGATCACTCATAATCTGTCCGAAAAGAACAAAGCCAGCTGATCCATCACATGCAACGTATTGCTTCAACAGCACCATACAGAACCGTTTTTTTATCGCTTGATTAGTGGAGACGAAAATTGAATCCTATATGTTAACCCAAAATGCATAAGGCAGTTTTAATAGAGGTTACAAATGGTTTACATCCCAAAAAGGCGCTTCTGCATGTTTTGTGGAGTATTTGAAGAATTGTTCATTTTGAATTGCTGAAACCCGGACAAACTATTAACCCATTAACGAGCCCGCCCCTTGGAACGAAATGTTTGAAAATGGCCGTGCGGTCAGATAACAAACCCCTCCAAAAAAAAAAAAAAAAAAAAAAAAAAAAAACCGCTTTTGTTTTCTGAAATCTCTCTAAGATGGCCCAGCCTAGGGCAGTATGTTTGCTTCCCCTTAGTGTGATGGATAAGCCATAAAATTGCCTCCCCACTATTGAACGGCAAGAAGTACTTCTTGGCTTTAGTTTCATCTCTCCTCTTTCTTTGTACTTGTAGTTTGTCTTTTAATATGTGACGTCCGAATTTTCCGAAATCTTTTTAGAATTTTAGCTTCCAAGCTTGTAAATTTTCAATTATTCGATATGTTTCATTGGGCATTATTTTAAGAAAGATCATTATTTATTTTGTTACACAATTTTTTTTTTACTCTTTACTTATATATTTTATTTAGTTTTATTAGGGCAATTTATTTTGGGAA